TTTATTTGTGACAACCCCAGACTGAAAAAAAAGCCAGTTGTCCTTCAGCAGATGAATGGTTAAACAAACCAGTATGTCCATGGAATTCTATTCAGTAATAAAAAGGAATAGACTATTGATACATGCAACAACTAGGATGCAGTTTAAGGATATTAACCAAGTGGAAAAAAAGAAAAACATCTCCAGAAGTTACATACTGAATGATTCCATTTATGTAATATTTGTGAACTAATGTGATTATAGACATGGGAAACAAATTAGTGGTTTCTAGGAGTTAGGGTTTGCAGGGGGCGGGGTGGGGGGAGTGGGTGGAGGGGCGTGGCGGTGGCTATAAAAGGGTAGCGCCAGTGAGCTTTGTGGTGAAGGAACAGTTCTGGATCTTGATTGTGATGCCAGTTGCACAAAGCTATACACGTGACAAAATTGCATAGAACTACACACACACACACACACACACACATAAATGAGTACATACATACATGGTGAAATCTGAATCACCTTTGTGAGTTGTGCTAACATCAGTTTCATGGTTTTGATACTGTACTCTAGTTACGCAAAATCCAATCACTGGGGGAGCAGGGTGTTGGGTGCATAGGACCCACCTGTATATATGTTTTTTAACTTCCTGTGAAATCCATGATTATTTCAAAATCTTAATTTTTTCTTAAATTTCTTTGTCCCATAATTCCAACCTGTCTAGCACCTTATAATTAGTATTTGTTGTCTCTTCTCATGAAGTCCAGATTTTTCTAAGAAGTGATTTTCGATTGTATCCTATACACTTTGGGTACTGTGTTCTGAGACTCTTGAGTCTTACTTAGATCCTCTATTGTATCAGAGCCTCTTTACTGCCCAGTGGAGGTAGAAATGCAGTGTCTCCACTTGACCTCTGTACATACTCAGGGGCAAGGCTGCCTTGGGACTGCTGAGTGCAGGTGGGAGCTCAGGCCCCCCAGTGAATACACTGATACTGCTGATACCACGCTGATACACTGACGCCTGCCTGGCTGCTGGGGGGCCTCACTGCTTCCCCATGTGGCTCCCATTGACACTTCAGAATGGGGTGAGGACTCATATCTCTGGAAGGTGGTGAAAGTCCTAGCGCCCCACTCCACCTTCTCTAATGCCAGACCAATGCGGGGAGGGGACAGTGTGCCTTGTAACAGCTGGTGAAAGTCTAGTTCCCCTACTTACGTTTTGCTGACGGAAGTGGGGATGAAGCCATAGTTTTGTTTTTTTCCCCATGGTGTTTGGAGAAGTTATTATCAAAGTTTTCTGTCTTACTACTCCCTTTCCTAGTCTTTTGGCCAGAGAGAGCAGGTTTTCTGGAGGGCTGTCTGTGCCATTGATATTTCTGATTTACCAGCTTCTCCAGCACTCAGTTCTGGATGAATGAGGCAGAAAGAAAACCCCAGGACCTCACCATTGTATTGTTCCTGGCTTCTGAGGCCACCAGCCGGTCTGCCTGCTTCTACCTACCTTTCAGTGTCTGTTTATGACTGTTTGATGCATAATATCCTGGGTGCAAATTGGCTTTAGTGCGAAAGTGCACTAACTAACTACATCTTGCAGGGAAGTCTTTCTTGTAATAGGTAAGTTTATTCCATTCGTATTTATTGATATAATGCTTATATTGGTTCAAAGTTCTCTCATATTTTCAGCTTTTAATTCTCCCCACCTTTTCTATCTTTTCTGTAGAGAATATTTTGCAGCACATGTGAGTATATGTTTCCTTCTGCTAATTTAGAAGCTTTACAGTCAAGTTAGATTCCCTAATGATTACCTTTATTTGTGTCATTTGGGAGGCTATCATTTCAGACACTAACTAGAGTTCCCTAGTTTCCATTCTTGATAAACCTCTGGATCACACCAGGGAGCTAGGGGGGGACAGCCTCTCAGGGTGGCCCAGATCAGGGGCTGTAGGGTTGCATTCAGCTCTGGCGGGGCCCTGTACAAGGTTATTCCCTCCTTTGTCCGTGTGTCTTCACACACCAAGTGGCCGAGAAAGGGAAGGGGAATCTGCTTCAGGTTTCTAATATGGAGCCATTGGTATCTACCTAATTGGGAAGGTGCCCCTTTGGAAAAAGAAGGGATAATTGGGGTTAACTTATGTCTTGCCAATGGGTTTCAGCCCCAGACAAGTTCGCTATGGATTCAGTGTGACCAAAGAAATTGACAGCAAAACGTTCTTTGGGGTGAAAGGGTTATACCCAACTTTATTTCCAGGTGGCAGGTCAGTCACTAGAATCCCATTCACTCAGAGCGAGTCTGCATCCAGCAAGCCAGTCTCTGCCTCTGGGCCTCTCTGTCTGCACAGCCATCCTCTGGGCTTCTCTGCACAGTCGTCCCGCACAGCTGTCCTCTGGGCCTCTGTCCTCGGTGCTGCCACCACTCCAGCCTCTGCTCTGCTCTCCTGCAGCCTTGCAGCCGTGCCACCTGTCACCCAGAGCACTGGGCGGAGCTCTTTATATAGAGTCAACAGCCATGTATTGCCCACAGGTGTGCAGTGAGCTAGTCAACCATGGCCAGGTGAGAATCCTGGCCACAGGAACTTTTATTTTATCCACAACTTAATATACTTAAAAATAGTATAAGTTGGGCTTTTTTCTTATATATTACTCAATCCACAACCACTTACAAATAATTTTTTGCATTTAGGTTTGGTTTTTCTATTGGAAAACCCATTTGTTCTGAAATTGTGGAGAGGGGGAATGAAAACCCTGAGGGAAGCCTGGGGATTCCCACAACTCTTTAGGAGTGGGCTCAACACCCTGCCTGCTGATTTGGGGAAGGCAATGCCTAATGTTTCCATCTTCCACTCTCCCCACCACAAGGCAATTTGGTAATCTTAACTTTGTATACCTGCTGTTAGGAAAACAACAGGCCCTCACTGGGAAGCACTGGAGAGGTCGGTTTTTAAATGAGAAAACCTAAGTCCAGCTAGAAGGGACTTGCCCAGTACTACCTAGTCACACTTGGTCCCATGTGGGCACCAAAAGCTAAAGGGCTCAGCCCCTTTGCTAGAGTGTCAGGGCCTGGCTAGAACAAAGGATTGAAGGAATCTATACAAAGTGGCTGAAGTTTTCCCACTTGAAATTTGAAGGGGAAGCCCCACAACTTCCCCTAGAGGCTTGGCTCTGAGTCTTCCCACTGCAAGCAGGCTGCTTACTTTGGCAGTTTTCTTGACTCTACCCAGTGACAGCCATAGAGCCTCACCTCCTGGCATTCCTGGGCCCCTGTGAACAGCCACCACTCAGCCACTGAACCTGTGAGCGAGTAGGTGACTCAGCCTATCTCGCACAGTGGGCAAAAGCTGGTCCAGAGCACAGTGGTCCAGAGAATGTTAAGCAATTGGTCAGGAAACTGTCCTGTGTCCCAGTGAAGCAGAGACCCGCCTCTCTCCTGGGCTTGTCTCAGCAGTTATACCCCACCCACAGCTGATGGTTTCAAGAGGCCCTTTGCCAACCTGCCAAACTCTCTTTGGTCCTTGTGAATAAAGCCTTCCACTAGGTGGCCCTCAAGTTCCTGAAGAGGGCAGAAAAACGAGATATTAATCGTAGTTTTTTTTTCTCTCATTTTTTTAATTCAGGTATCATTGATATACACTCTTATGAAGGTTTCACAAGAAAAACAATGTGGTTATTACATACACCCTTATTATTGAGTCCCCCCACACCCTATTGCAGTCACTGTCCATCAGTGTAGTAAGATGCCACAGAGTCCCTATTTGTCTTCTCTGAGCTACACTGTCTTCCCTGTGACCCCACACACACCATGTGCACCAATCATGATACCCCACAAATCCCCTTCTCCCTCCCTCCCCACTCACCCTCTCACATCCCTCCCCTTTGGCAACTACTAGTCCCTTCTTGGAGTCTGAATCTGCTGCTATTTTGTTCCTTCAGTTTTGCTTCATTGTTACACTCTACAAATGAGGGAAATCATTTGGTACTTGTCTTTCTCTACCTGGCTTATTTCACTGAGCATAATACCCTCTAGCTCCATCCATTTTGTTGCAAAAGGTAGCATGTTTCTTTCTTATGGCTGAATAGTATTCCATTGTGTATATGTACCACCTCTTCTTTATCCATTCATCTACTGATGGACACTTAGGTTACATCCATATCTTGGCTATTGTAAGTAGCGCTGTGATAAACAGGGTGCATATGTCCTTTTGAATCTGAGAAGTTATTTTCTTTGGGTAAATTCCTAGGAGTGGAGTTCCTGGGTCAAATGGTATTTCTATTTTGAATATTTTGAGGAACCTCCAGATTGCTTTCCACAGTGGTTGAACTAGTCTACATCCCCACCAACAGTGTAGGACAGTTCCCCTTTCTCCACATCCTCGCCAGCATTTGTTGTTCCTAGTCTTTTCTATGTTGGCCATCCTAACTGGTGTGAGGTGATATCTCATTGTGGTTTCAATTTGCATTTCCCTGATAATTAACGATGTGGAGCATCTTTTCATGTGTCTGTTGGCCATCTGAATTTCTTCTTTGGAGAAGTTTCTGTTCATATCCTCCACCCATTTTTTAATTGGGTTATTTGCTTTTTGGGTATTGAGGTGTGTGAGTTCTTTTTATATTTTGGATGTTAACCCCTTGTCGGGTGTATCACTTACAAATATATTCTCCCATACCGTAGGATACCTTTTTGTTCTGTTGATGCTGTCCTTTGCTGTACAGAAGGTTTTTAGCATGATGTAGTCCCATTTGTTCATTTTTGCTTTTGTTTCCCTTGCCCGAGGAAATGGGTTCAGGAAAAAGTTGCTCCTGTTTATATTCAGGAGATTTTTGCCTATGTTTTCTTCTAAGAGTTTTATGGTTTCATGACTTACATTCAGGTCTTTGATCCATTTTGAGTTTACTTTTGTGTATGGGGTTAGACAATAATCCAGTTTCATTCTCTTGCATGTAGCTGTCCAATTTTGTCAACACCAGTTGTTGAAGAGGCAGTCATTTTCTTATTGTATATCCATGGCTCCTATTAATTGACCATATATGCTTGGGTTTATATCTGGGCTCTCCAGTCTATTCCATTGGTCTATGAGTCTGTTCTTATGCCATTACCAAACTGTCTTGATTACTGTGGCTTTGTATAATCTGTAGGTTTTTAAGAGATTGATTGGGTAGACAACAAAGAGATAAATGACAAAGCCAGGGCTGCTCTGAGAAGACGCCTGTCCCTGGGCCACTGCCATTAGTGCCCAGCGACTGGGATTTGGAATAAAAGAGTTGAGACTCTTGGCCAGCTGTTCTTCCTGGCTGGAGTGGTGGAAAGGTCTCCTGGAACCCACTGCTAACATGTCTGCCTCACCATTCCAGATAACTGACAGGTCGCTAGTGCCTGCTGGATGGTTATGGGTCCAGACACTGCATCCAACACACTCATGAGCAGGAGCCTGTAGCCTGGACCCAGCCCAGTTGCTCTTTGCAGAGGCAGAACAGCCTGTGCCCTGGGCATCCAAAGGTAACCATGCTGCAGGCAGCTTGGGGATCTGAGGGCAACAAGCTAGGAGGCAAGTCGGCCAGTGCAACTCAGACTGAACAGGAGGTCAAAAAGGAAAGGCATGGGAAAGCAAGGCCGAAAAGTAGGAGTGTTGCTTGGAATTTGTTACTACAGTTTAACAAAGTACTAAAGCTGCACGTAATTTATTTTTAAAAAGGGAAAACAAAAGAGTGGATTCAAAAGTATTTATATAATTGCATCTATTGACATTCCATATAGTTTCATCCAAATGATGAATTCCATTTCATCAGTCTGCAAAAAAGGAAGCTGGGGCTAGTGAGGAGCTAAGGGACATGCACACAGCTGGTCCCTGGAGCCAGGCTGCCACATGTTGGAGTCACAGCACACCCCTTATGACACATGCAGTCTGGGGAAGCTGCTCATTGCTCTGACCCTCTGTTTCCTTATTTGTAAGATGAATGTCTTCTTCTGAGGTATGTTATAAGGATTAAATGAGATCGATTTGAAGCACCTGACACAAAAACAGTTCTCAGCAAATCCTTGCTCCCTTTCCAAAGTACAGGCTGGAGTCACCCAAATGGGGAGTGGCAGAGCTTAGATTTAAATCTGCATTTTTGGCTGACTCTCAAGAACCAATGTAATCTTCACGTCAGTGTGATTAGCACATATTCCTTAAGGCCCACTGTGTGTCAGTCCCTGATCCTGCTGGATCTAGTAGCCAAGGCACACAGGACACAGGCATATCAGAACTCAGGAAAACAGACATCCCAGGAGCTATTTCCGACAGAAGGGAGTTAATGCACGAATTGGCTGTAAAGGTATTGAAGGGCTGAGAAAAACCACTAGGGAGCAATGGGCGACCCCGAGAAAATAACTGCAGGAGGCAGAGGTGACGGGTTTTCCAGAACATAGGTTCTTGGAGGAGAGACCCCACGGGACTAATTCAAGGATCTCTGGGGGGTTGGCTCTGCACTTCTGGCCCCCAAACTGTGCAGATGACAGGGCCTGGCAGCTGCTGCATGTACGACTGAGGAGAGGGGGCCCTGTGGCTGGTGCTTGGACCTCAGAGAAGTGGATCTGGGGCCTCTGTAGAGGAGGCCCAGGCTGGCACGTGATAAGATGGAAGTCTGGTCTCCATTTCTCAAAGGGAGCACCACCTGGCTGTTGCTGGCACCTCTGAGGGGCTCTAGTGAAGCTGGCGACAAGAGCTATGGCCATAGTTGTCAGCTGCTGCCACTAGAGGCTGGGAAATAGGAAGGAATTCCCTTCTTACTTCCTTCTGCATTCCAAGGCCTTACTAACTGTCCCTACTGGCAAACGTAACACGAGGCCAACTGCCAAGGGGGTCTGGGACCTACGGTTTGTAGAGAACCAGCTCCAGGACCATGGGACAGAGTTTGGAAGGGGCATTTGGGGCTGGGAGATAGCAAGTAAATAATTAGCACAGTCTACCCCTTTGCCAACTCAGCATTTAAAATTCCATATAACGACAACAATATCATTCTTCTGCCCAACAAGATGCAACTGGAAAAGAAGAGATAAAAATAAGTATAAACACACACACAAAGAGCAAGGAATGAGCACAGGGCTACAACCCTCATTACAGCGTCTGATCATGGGAGCATTATTCATAATTCATAATTCCCTAACAAACTGGGACATTTACCCTTCCTCTATTCTTGGAAGAATGTGTGAAAGATTGGAATTGGACCTTTCCTAGATGTTTGTTGGAATTCTTTGGTAAAGCCATCTCGGTTTGACTTACTCTTTTAGGAAAGTTTTAAATAGTGGATTCAATTTCTTTAATAATTATAAAACACCCCCAAATTTTTATGTAATTATGTGTCACTGTTGTGTTTTATTAATAATTTGTCCATTTCATGTAAAATTCATGTAAAAGTTCATAGTATCTTCTTAGGATTCTTTTTAAACTGTACCATGGCAGTAATATTTCTTCTTTATGCTTTTTATTAGTTGTTTGTTTCTTTTCTTGATTAGTCTTCCAAGGGTTTATCAATGTTGCTAGTCTTTTCAAATAATGTACTTTGGCTTTTGCTGATCATTTATATTAGGCTTATTTGTATTTCACTAATTTCTACTATTATTTTTATAATTTCTTATTGTAGTTGTTTGGGTTCTAATCTTTTACTCTTTTTCTAGTTTTTTGATATGGGTATTTGTAGATTCTTCAGCCCTTCTGTTATATTGTAAAGGCTATAAATTCTCCCTTTAATCATGGCTTTAGTTAAATTAGAGAAATTTTAATACTTAGTACTTCCATTGTCATTTAAATTAAAATATCAAAAAATTTCCATTATAACTTCATTTTGACCCATAGGTTTTCAGAATCTATATTCAAAAGTGTATTTCTTAATTTCTAAACATATGTAAATTTTCTAGTAATATTTTTGTTGTCAATTTCTAGCTAAATTGCACTTTGGCCAGAGATCATGTTCTTTGACAGGGACAAGATTGGGCTCAGTATGAAATAATCCTATAACTACTTAAATATGAAATTAAACCATGCTGCAAAGGGCACTGCAGAGCAAATGGTTTCATTGGTAAATACTACCAAATATTTAGGAAATAAATGATGCCAGTCAATATTCTTACAGAGACTAGAAAAAGAAGAATCACTTTCCAATTTACTTTGAGGCCATAACAACCTTGATTATCTCGGGAAACATCATGAGAAACGAAAATTATGAGCCAATCTCACTCATGAACATGGACACCAAAATCCTAAACAAATTATGAGCAAACAGAATCCAAAAATGTATTTAAAAATATATCATACCAAGCTCAGTTTATTCAAGAAAAGCAAGGCTGGTTTAACTTACAAAAAAAAAAATAAGATTCAACAAATGGTGATGGAATAATTAGACATCCACATGCAAAAAAACAATAAAAATAACTTGGTTCCATACCTCATACCAAATATAAAGATTAACTCCAAATGGATCATAAATCTAAATATAAAATATAAAACTAGAGCATTTCTAAAAGAAAATATAGGAGAAAAATCTTTGTGACCTTGGATTAGGTAAAAGTCATACATACGTAGGTCTGACACCAAAAGAAGGATCCATAAAGGAGAAAGATGATAAACTGGATTTCATCACAATTAAGGTTTACTCTTGAAGAGACATTGTTTAAAAAAATGAAAAGACAAACTACAAAATGGGAGAAAAATATTTTCAAATATTTTTGTTTCTAATAAAGGACTTGTATCCAGAATACAGAAAGAACACTCAAGAATAAATAAGAAAATTTTGAGATGGGAAAAAGACTTGAGCAGATCCTTAACCAAATAAGATAGAATCATAAAAAGACACTCAAGAGCATCAGTCATTAAGGAAGAGCAAACTGAAACCACACACACATGTATCAGAATGTCTCCAATTAAAAAGATTGTAAGTGTTGACAAGGAGATGAATCCAGTGGAAATCTCATACACTGCTGACAGGATGGTAAAACGGCACAGGCATTTTTGAAAATAATTTGGCATTTCTTATAAAGTTAAATACTCATCTACCATATGACCTAGTCATTCCACTCTTGGTACCTAAGAGAAATAAAAGCATATGTCCATATAAAGATTTTTACAGGAATGTTCATAGAGGCTTTACTTGAAAGGGTAAAACTGGAAAGAGCCCAAACGTTATCCAGCAGGTGAGCAGATAAATAAGCTTGGATGAGCCGTGCACAGTGAAACACTGCTCAGAGAGAACGTGGGTTAAACTATGGATACACACGCAATGACGGGGAAGAATGAATGCTGAGTGAAAAGATCCAGACAAGGAGGAGTACATGCTGTATGTTATTCCATTTATTTTAAACTCTAGAAGATGCCAACTAACCCGTGCTGACAGGAAGCAGATCAGTGGTTGCCTGGGGCTGGCGGTAGGGTGAGGACAGGTGGGAGAATGAGATTGCAGTGGGGCCTGAGGAAACTTTTGTGGAATATGGGTGTATTCATTATCTTGATTATGGTCTTGTTTACATATATATATACACTTGTTTCATATATATATATAGAACCTTTGCCCCAGAGGCAGACATTATCTTTATTATCCAGGACAGTAAACAAATATGTTTGATAGACACTATCTCCATTGCTCAATGTTGTTTCCTATACAAATATCTTCGAAAAAGTCTGGGACAAAAGTGATCAATATCTTGACCAACCACTGTAAGTGTTGAAAAGCAAGAGAAGAAAGGCTGGTTCGACAAGACTTGCAGAAATGCAAAGGAACTGTCTTCCAGCAGTCATGGAACCCATGAGAGGAGGCAGCCCAAGAATGCCAGTAAAAAATGTGTTGGTGACTGAAATGGCATTCCTACAAGGTACTGTGGAAGAGGTAACGGCCATGAAGGAAAAGGACGGACCCCTGCAAACACCACAGAAGAGGCAGTGGGAGAACGTGAGCTGTAAGGTCCAGTAAAGGAGGATTTCTCCAATTTCTTTATGCCCTCCAGGCAATTTGCACTGTTTGGTACTAGTAACCCACAGAGGCACAGGCAAAGCTATGGGCGGGTGCTTAGTATGTCTCCCAGAACTGCCTTCACCACATGTAGTTGCAGTCTGAACTCACCTGGGGAAGGAGCTACACCTCTCCTGGAGGAACCCTCAGTTGCTGTGTTTTTATTTTCTTTATAGCCACTGGGTGTGCTTCCAGCAGAGGAGGGGTCAGTGCTTCTTCCGGCATCACCCCTTCATCCTTCCCCAGCTACTCCATTTCCGGGGCTGATGGCACCTTTCTCTCCACTCCCTCAAGTGCCTCCCCTGCTACATCCTTTACTTTTCTACAGAGCCTTGCAGCAATGCCAGCTCAGACTTCAGCAGCTCTCTTACCTTCACCTCAGTGCCTTGCAGCTGGCATTCTTGGGCCGACCCTTCCTGTACTTCCCTCAAGAATACGTTCTTCTTCTCCATGGCCTTTGCCTCCTTCAGAGCACCTGGCAGCACTACTGTCTCATTCTGTAAGGAATCTTTTACCTCCCTCACTGGACCTTGCAGCTCATGTTGTCGCAGTGTTTCTTCTTGTGGCTTTTGCAGGGCCGTCTATTGTGGCTTGACCCTGTGGCTACTGACACAGTACCATGCCAACTGGTTGGTTGGTCACCAACACTTTTGGGAGCAAGAATTGTGGCAAGACTTATGGGCCTGTGGTCAGATTAAACAGTTATAGTATATCATGTGACAGGTCATTTGCCAATGGCATCCCCAGGAAATGATGCAACAGATGAATTGGCCCAGGTACGTTGGCTGGAAGGAAAGCCTGCCTCTGATGTAGCCCAATGGTTACATCAGCATTTCGTGCACACTGGGCAAAAGACAGTGTGGTCTGTAGCCTGTTGACCTTTGAAGAAATCAGCAGAGCCCGGCAGGAGTGCATCATATCTAAAAGGGACTTGCACTGAGTTCCACAGCAACATGGGACAATAGCTAAGGGGCCAAAACCTCTCGTCAGGTGGGCCTCTGCCTGTGTCAGAAGGGTACCAATATGCCATGACTTGTGTGAATACAGCTACTGGAACTTCTGGTTGCTTTTCCTACACATTGTGCAGACCAATAGATGATCAAAAGAGGCCTGGAGCATCTCTTTGCAGCCTATGGCTGACCACAGGTAAATGAGAGTGATCAAGGCACCCACTTTACTTGACATGCAGTACAAGAATGGGTGCAACAGTTGGGAATCAAATAGAAGTCTCATGTGCCATACAGTCCTACCACAGCAGGCATGATAGAGAGGTACAATGGTTTGTTAAAACCTGGACTAAAGTCAGACACCAATAATCTGTGGGGATGGTCAGTCCACTTATGGACAGTACTATGGCATTTGAATGAGAAACCCCAAAAGAGAGCCCTGAGCCCCACAGACAAGCTAACGCATATTGCTGCCTCCCCCATATAACTGCAAGTACAAACCAAGGAAGAGTTGTTGAATAATATCTTGCTGCCAGCACCAACTGCACTAAACCCTGGAGACTCCATTGAGTAGACATGGCCTTGAACATTTCAACACATGGACCAATGATTGCTGGCCCTCCTGGCACCTTGGGGACAAGGCCTGGAAGCTGGTTTCCTGTGTATTCCTGGAGTAACAGCAGAGTGGCCCCCAAAGATCACTGTAGTATATCCTGAATGGCCAGAAGGTAGGAGCATCTTACCAGGGAGATTTGTTTTATCATTATGGCCAGTGCATGCACCTCAAGTAGCACTATACATAGACCCCTCAGTAACCCCCATGGGAAGAGGGGTAAAGTCCTATCACAGACCACTCTCTTGCATGCATCCTACCTGATGGTCAAGATTTGCCTATGTTGGTTTCATTAAAATATGTGTCTTATCGCCTCTAAGGTCTTTGTGGATTGGGCACACACCCTAGCAAAAACCTGCTACTCACTGGGGTGCATGGAGCTCCCTATCTGTGCCAGTACTGAGTGTGAGTCATGAACTCATCTGAGTAGAAGGGGTTTTAAATATAGCTGAAGTAACCTCCTCAGGTCTGAGGATTATTATAATTTTTGTTACCTGTATCAAAATCTTGTTGTATCTTAATTTTTGTTAATATCTTTATGTTGTTGTTATCTGTTGCTGTTGTGGAATCTGGTTACAATGCTCCAGCTTTCTCTCACTGCGGAAGATTGAGAGCGTGTAGATAGTGAGGTGAGAATCCTGGAAGGGTGGAGTGTGGATAAACTGAAGGTTCCTATATAGCCAGGATCCTCATCTGAACCTGAATTAATTGATGATGTAACTGGCGTTCTGTTAGGCTACTGCTCCCACACCCTAGGTATAAGCTATTACTGACTGAGTCACTATATAAAGAGCTCTGCCTAGCGCTCTGGGCGGAGGCAGAGAGGAAGGAGGATTATAGACCTGCAGACTGTTGGATGCAGAGGTAATTCTAGTGCTCCACCTGTGGCCAGGAAAATAAGCCGGGTAATAAACCCTTTCACCCAGGGACGTTCCACTGTCATTCCTTGGTCTCACTGAATCCACAGTGAACTTGCCCAGGGCTGAAATCCATTGGTAAAACACTATGCTCCCCACTATCTTGGGCCTTGGTGAGTTCCTCTCAATCCCTGGGCACTCAGTATTTTTGCTATACACTGGGAATAATTGTAAATGCAGCATAGATGTCAAATCTAAACAGAGGTTGGGACTTTGGCAGGGTAAACAATGCCAGGGAAGGTTGGCTCCTTCCCCTTCCAGCAATGGAACTCAGTCTGGGGTGACCGAGTTCACAGAAGGATGAATGGTGGTATTTTTTTGTTCCCTGATTCTATTAAAGGGGCCCTGACAGTGATCTCATTATACCTATCTGTAAGAGAAAAGAATATCTGGAGCAATTTAATAAACCAAATCAAATCATAAGCTTTGGGTCCAGGAGGGAAAGTCTGTGGTCTCCTGCAGGGCCAGCTCAGCCCCCCAGGCACCCGTGACTGGCACCGCACACGTGCGGCTCACACAGCCCAGGCCTGGGAGTCGGAGTGCGCAACAGCGAGGGAGGGAGTGCAAGCATCACAGGCGGCCTAGACGGAGACCGGATAGCAGTGCACCCCCGAAGGAGTGAGTGAGAGGGAGGGGAAGGGGGGAAGGGGAAGGGAAGCCAGGGGGAAGGAGCAAGGAGAGGAAAACGGTGAAGAGCGGGAAGGGGGTAGGTGGGAAGGAGGGGCAAGCAGAAGGGGAGGGCCCCCGAGAGGAGGAGTTCTCGGGGTGCAGTGGGCAGATGGACCGCCTTCCCTTTCCCCCTCGGGGCTCCCCCTAACGCACCCTCGCCGCCGCCCCGCCACCCGACCTCCCGGAGCGCGCGCTCTCCCCACTCGGCGCCCTCCGCCCCGGCCTCCCTCGGCGACCCCCGCCTTCCCGCCCCCCGCCCCTCCGCGGCGTCACGTGAGCCCCGGTCCCCGCGCAGGTGATCCGCTCGTCGGAGGGCCCCCGGGGAGCCGCCGGCCGTGGCCTTACCTCTGGGGACTGTGTTTTACCGTAGTTACGTACTTCCAGACCGGCGAGGGCGGGGGCGGCCCAGGCCTCCCGAGCGGCAGCAGCTTGGCCAGCAGCTTGGAAGCTGCCCGCGCGCGCGGCCTGGCGGCCCGAGGTGGAACTGCCTGCTCCCCGGAGCCCGAGACTGTTCTCGGGGGGCCCGGCGCGGGCGAGCTCGGGGGGAGGGGGGCAGAGGCGCCGTGACGCCGGGGATCGTGGGGGGGCGGGCCCGCGGGGAGCCCCCCGCCGGCGCCCACGAGCTTGTCGGCCCCCGCGCACCTGGCCCGGGCCTCGGAGGAGGTGGCCTTGAGCTCAGGCTTGGGGCTCCCCTCCCCACCTCCCGGGCCCCTGCGTTCAGGGCTCACTTGCGGCCTGGCGACCCCCCAGCACACAGCGCCTCTCCTCGCCCCGCGGCTTGCCCGCCTCCCGCGCCTCACCCCTCCGCATCCTGCCGGAGGGGCCCCGCGGAGGAGACACGAAATCACGTCCACCGGAGAAAAGGAGAGACAAAGGGATGGATTTCCCCCTGACGTTCCTGGCAACGACTTCCAGAGGCTCCAGGGAGGGGAAATTCGATAATCGTGTAACTTCACCCTTTGATAGTCCGGGCGCTGCCTGGCCCGCGGCCGAGGGCGTGTTTGCGAAGCCCAGCTGAGCAGTGTCATTCCTGCAAAATCCATTTCTGTCTCGGCGTGGTGTGTGTGGGTGTCTGTCCCTCCCGCTCCTCTTTTATTCTCCTTTACTTTTCCTCCCTTCAATTCTTTCTCCCTCCATCTTTGCCTTCCCTCTCCCGGGATCCTCCTGGGACATTCAATTAATCATACAGTGGCCACCCAAAGCCACTTTTATGTCTTTTTTATTATTTTCTCTTAATCTCTCGTCTTCCACTCCCCAAGAGAGAGGAACCCTCTCTTATTTAAGTCTACATATATAATGTACATCTTTCTAGTCCACTTTCTTCAATACAGTGTTGTTTTGAGCTTTAATTACATAAAAGTTTGTCCAAAGTTTAACCCCATTATTTGGATTTTAAATTCAGCATTGCTTTCGAAACTTTACTGAGATATAGTTGACATATAGCAAAACGCACATATGTAAAGATAACATTTGATACGTTTTGACATATGTATACACCTATGAATGCATCACCTCACAATTAATATAGGGAACATATTTGTTACCCCTTAAAAGTTTCCTCCTAACGCTTTGTAATTCCTTCCCCTTGTACCTCACCGCACCTATCCCTTCCCCAGGCAGCAACTGATCTGTCACCACAGATTAGTTTGCATTTTCTAGAATTTTATATAAAGGGATCATGGCTTCTACACTATGTACTCTTTTTGTGTGTCTGGTTTTCTCTACTCAGCAATTGTTTCGAGATACATTCATGTGTCAGTAGTGATTCTTATTTATTGCCAGGTAGTATTTCATTGTACATTGTGTATTCTACAGTTTGTTTATCCAGTTGTTTGAGCTGTTTCTACTTTTTGACTATGACAAATAAAACTGTCATGATCATTCATTTACAAGATTTTGTATGGTGATACACTTTCATACTTTAGAGTGGAATGACTGGGTAGGTAGGTGAATGCTTAACTTTTAAATGAATTGCCAAAATATTTTCCAAAGTGGTTGTACCATTTTACATTCTCACTAGTAGTGTACGAACACTCCAGTTCCTCCGAATCAAAACAAGAGCCATTCTAATAGATACATGGCCGTATTTCATTGTGGTTTTTAATTTGTATTTCTTTAAAGACTGATGATATTGAACATCTTTTAAATCTTATTTTCCATCTGTATATTATCTGTAGTATTTTGTTTATAAAAATATTTTGCTCAGTTCTTTAATTTGGTTGTGTGTTTTCTTACTATTGAGTTTCTTATTGTGGTAAGATATATGTAACATAAAATTTACCATTTCAGCCATTTTTAAGTGTATAATTCAGTAACATTAAGTACCTTCACAGTGTTGCACAACCATCACCATTGTCTGTTCCCCAAACATTTTTTAGCAACCTATTTCACAGAAACTCTATACGCATGAAGCCACAACTCCCCAACTCCATTTCCTCTATTCTATATGCTGAGCCATATGGTAATTCAATATTCAACATTTTGAGGAAACATCACATTTTTCTGCAAAGGCTGCAACATTTTAGATGCTTTTTTTATTCCCACCAGCAATGTATAAGGGGTGTGATTTTCCATATCCTCACCAACACTTGTTATCTTCTGTTGTTTTTGATAGCCATCCTAATGGGTGTGAGGTGGTATTTCATGGTGGTTTTGATTTATGCTTCCTTAATGATGAGTGATGTTGAGTATCCTCCCATATGCTTATGGACCATTTGTGTATTTTCTTTGGAAAAATGTCTATTTAAGTCCTTTGCCCATTTTTGAATCAGGTTATTATTGAGTTTTGAGAGTTTTTTTATTTATTTTGGGTACAAGTACCTATCAGATATGTTGATATATGGTCTTCTACAAATATGTTCTCCTGACCTGTACCTTTTTTCATCCCTTAATAGTGTTTCATGTAGAGCAAAAGTTTTTAACTTCAATGAAGCCCAATCTACCAATGGATCATTTTTTTGGTGTCATATCTAAAAAATCTTTGCCTAAATCAAAGTCACAAAGATTTTCTCCTATGTTTTCTTCTGGAAGTTCTAAGTTCTAGGTTTTACATTTGGGTCTTTGATCCATTTTGAGTTCATTTTGTATACGATGTGAGGTGTATCACACATATATTATACGTGTTTATTTTTGCTGTATGACTATCCAATTTTTCTAGTCATAAGTATAGTCAGGTGAAAAGTATAGTCAGGTGAAAAGACTATACTTTCTGCACTGAATTACTTTTGCATCTTTTCAAAAGTCTGTTGTCCACATATATGTGGGTCTGTGTCTGAACTCTGTCCTGTCCCACTGATTTTCTTTGTCTAACTTCATGCAAATACCATGCTGTCCTGGTTACTGTAGATTTACAATAATCTTGAAATCAGCCCACCAAATTGTTATTTTTCAGAGATGTTTACTAGGACTTTTGCATTTCCATATGAATTTTAGACCCACCTTTTCAGTTTCTCTAAAAGGCAGCTGGCGTTTTGTTTGAGGATGCATTGAATGTGTATATCGGTTTGGAGAGAGCTGACATTTTAGCAATATTGAGTCTTATAAATATGGTACATTTTCCCAATTATTTAAGTCTTCTTAAATTTTGCTCTGTAGTTTGTAGATGCTTTGTAGTTTCAGCATACAGATCTTTGGTATCGTCTTTCAGACTTATCCCTAGGTAGCTAATATGTTTTGTGCTATTGTAAATGGTACTTTTAATTTCTGATCATTGCTAGTGGATAGAAATATAATCGAAATTTTTTTATTGATCTTATATCCTGCATCTTTGCTGAATTTACTTATTAGTTCTAATAACTTTTTAAATAGATTTCACAGGATTTTTTTATAGAGATGATTATATTGTCTATGAACTAAAGTAACTTTACTTCTTCTTTCCCAGTGGAGTCTTTTTATTTATTTTTCTTACTTGATTGCATCATCTTGAACTTCTAGTACAATGTTGAAAAGAAATAGTGAGACATCCTTTTCTTTTTCCTGATCTTGGGAGAAAGCATTTGTCTTTCACCATTAAGTATGATGTTATTGGCAGGCTTTTTATACATGTCTTTTCTCTATAAAAGGTTGAGGAAGATGCTTTATCATTGCTAGTTTGCTGAGAGACTCTTTCTTTTTTTTGGAAATATTTTGGAAATATGTTGAAGTTTGTCAAAGGCAATTTCTACGTCTACTGAAATGATGATACCATTGTTCCTTTTTAGTTGCAGTGTGAGTTTAGGTTTATTATGAGTTGCAGTGATTGGTTTTAGAATGTTAAATAAAAACATGTAACAAACACCCCATTTGTGCTTACTTGAACTCAGTAGATTTTTGATACAAGCCATGTGAAGATTTTTGAGAGATACAATCTGATGATTATAATTTTTCTGCCCAGCTTTGTATCTCAAAGTTTAGTTAATATTGGAAGACATTTCTGGGTGACATATGTAAGAAAGGAGAAAAACTCTTGAACTTCTGATGATTTGGCAAATACTTATTGAAGTGCCTGCTGTGTTCAGACAGTGCCTTAGGTGTGGGGTGCTGAAATACACACTCCTGAGATGTGATGACCAGCTGGGAATTGTGAGAAATTCCAGTGTTACTCAAACAACAGAGGCCTTCCTTATCTCTTTCCTTTGCAGCTAGCAGGAGAAATGTTGACATCTGGCTCTTTGGTGTTTTTAAAATCAAATCTACATGAACCTGGTGAACTGAAATGCCTCCAGGGAAGAATGACAATAAATGAATGCAGAGAGTGAGGAGGTTTTGATGCTTTATTATCTTTGACTATGTAACAAGTTTTAGAGTCTTCAGAAATCCCTGATTTTATTAAACTATTTTCTTTAGTTATTCATTTATTCAATAAATATGACCCGGTGCCTATAATGTATCAGGACTTTTCTATACCTTTGTTTCCATTCCCAGAGATTGTCTGACTTTGCTAGGCTAAAATCAAGTTCAAGCTCAAAAGTGAGATAACCTCCCTCTACCTCCCCTTTTTATAGAAGAAAAAACTGAGAGTCTAAGAAGAGAAAACCCTTGCCTCGGCCATACAAACAGGGACAGATTTACTACATGGCCATGTGACCCATTCCCAGGCAGTTGAACCTCCTTTTTATTATCTAATTGCCCCCTACCCGGCTCCCGGCTGTAATGAGGGCAAGACTGGTGCCCCAACAATGAGTCAAATCCCAGCTCCATCATGAGGCTTATTTCTTTCTGGCACTGTGGCCCATCTGTAGAATGTGGTTAATAGTAATGCTCACATCTGTAGAATAAAGAATAGTGTTGTTTACCAAAAAATATGGTAAGGCCTTTGCTCCTTCCCCGCCTCTTCTTAGTTCCTGCTTTCAGATGCTGTGTTTGATGGTCACCACTTCCCACAAAGTGACAAAGCAGGACGGAGGAAGGAGGAGCCAGGTTCATCCACTACATCCTCGGGATCCAGGAAAAAATTACTAATTTTTGCTGTCACTGCATATTCATCCGTAAGGTGGAACCCTTTACATCCTGGGCCATTTGTGAGAAAAGGTCAACATTTTTAGAATGTATAACTCTTAAATTATCTTATTAAATTGTCTTGGGCAAGTCATTACCATTTCTCAGATCACTTTCCCCATCTGATATAGAGATAATAATTTCTCCCTCACCGGATTATTTTAAGGATTTATAACCCTTTCCCCTCCCCTGATTTTTAAACTACTGTCACTGCATATTCATCCGTAAGGTGGAACCCTTTACATCCTGGGCCATTTGTGAGAAAAGGTCAACATTTTTAGAATGTATAACTCTTAAATTATCTTATTAAATTGTCTTGGGCAAGTCATTACCATTTCTCAGATCACTTTCCCCATCTGATATAGAGATAATAATTTCTCCCTCACCGGATTATTTTAAGGATTTATAACCCTTTCCCCTCCCCTGATTTTTAAACTACTCATAAAGTAGTTTCTTTGAGCATACCACATTATACAACGCACCCTTTGAAAAAACAGAGGCAATATGTTTAAGTATGTTAAAAGTACAAACACATCAGAATTTTTAAAAAGATTTAATTTTTTTTCCAAAATACCACTTTCCATAGTTAAAGAAAGCAAATGATAAAGAAGTTCTTGAAGTATGAAACAATGATACCTGCCCCAACTCTCTCTAACCTCAGACTCATTCCCTTTTTCTGTTTTTAACTATTTTCTGTTTTAATTATTTTTGTTTTTAGTTCTGATGGCCTCTTTCATGTCATTAAAGAAAA